TCTCTGTAATTTATATTTGTGGTGGTAACCGTGACGATTGCTCCCATTTGACTAACATTCCAGGTTCCATTCGTTTGACACGGCATGAATGCAGCATGAGAATTTAAAATGCTCTTTTCTCATTAGTTAGAATAAATTCACTATATTTTAAGATGAGTGTAAACATAAATTCATGAGCTTTAAACGCACACGAATGCTGTATTTGTCTTCTGGCTATTATTTAAACACAAATATGTTTATCAATCATAAAATGCATTTCCATACATTCTGTGTCTGAAGAAGACTGAAAAAGAAAAGTCAAAGCTGAAGCAGCAGAGCTCGAGATATTCTGACTTTTACTCTCCAGTGTGGTTCAACTCCAAACCCCTCTCATTGTGTTTCATGTTAGAGCTCGTCTACCTGGTAAGAAACTGCTTTCTGTGAATGTGTCGTGTTGTCACAGAAGGAGTTGTACTGCTCGTGCTGCTTAAGCACTCCTGTGTAAAACTGCTTCCTCTAGACTTTGTCCCATGATGTTCGAGGGGTTTGTCATTTCACTTCTGGCCATCAAGACTTTCCATGATGTGGGGAAAAAAGCCCATGTTTGGTGTTGGTACATGTGTAGTAACACACAATACTGGACCTGCAGCACTGCTCCGAGTGTGATAATTAATCAGCAGTATGTACGGAAGTCAACCTCAAGTTGTTATATTTCTGCTTACAAATAAATACAACTGCTTTTTACAAATATAAACTAGAAATGCTATCCTGTGGTTGTTTGCCTCCACCAACCAGTGCAGTGTTGGTCTGTTCACATTTTTCCAGAATCAGGTCATCGTGACCTTTAAACCTCGGTAATCCAATCACTTCATCTTTGTGTCCCAGAGACAACTGGTGAAAAACACACTTGAAATGTCGTGTTCAAGAGCACACTTGGATAACACCACGCTGGTATTGAGGCCTGTTGTTTTTATTGTCAATTGTATTGGATTAGGCTGCAACACTGTTTACCCCTGACACTCCTGAGGTGTTTTGTGGACTCAAACACTTCACCCACCCCTCCATCAGAATAGTGGTGAGAAGATAGAGTGAATTTACATTTTTCTGTGAACTATCTCTTTAAAATAACTCGTTCACAGGTCAAATTAAATCAGCTCATCATTGAGTCCAAATGAATTTGTACCAAATTTAAACTAATTCTTCTGTTCACTTCTTTAAGGTCACAATGACCTTTACCTTTAAGCACAATTTAATCAGTTCAGATTTGAATCCAACAGAAGAGATTCCATTTAAGGTGTTCTTGAGATATTGTGTTCACAAGATTGTGACAAAAGACAATCCAAAAACATAAAGCCTCCAGCCACAATAAGGATTTTCATGTTGAAAGAAGAGCCCATGCAAACCATCTG